GAAAAGTTTTTACATCCGGACACCCATCCTGACGACAACCACCAGTTATAAGCAGTGGGCCTAGCCTTTCGCTCAAAAGCATGCAAGCATGCAGTTTTATGTCATACCCAGGACGACTGTTTCTGATCTGAAAAATCAATAATTCAGTATGTTATAAACTAAATCCTAATGCTACTAATCTTTTTTATAATTTTATAAACAATAATTATTTTCTATCTGCTGAGTGCTGAAAATGACATACACGTCATGTATATAATATACAAAATAAAAATGCACAATAAATAATTAAATAGATCTGTATTTTTTTTATTTAATCTATGTATTTTGTATGTTATCTTCATTTACCTATGTTATGTAATGTATGTATCATCTTCATCTACTATGCTAAAAAATCATCTTCGACTTGGGGTGTTATATTTTAAAATAATTTGTCAAGATCCAAGGGTAGACAACTATTTCATGATGAAGAGTCCCTGGTCCAGTTTGATTATCTGTTTGTTCTACGTTCTTGCTGTCCTCTACATTCTGCCTCGCTACATGGAGAAACGGCCACCTTTTGAATTCAGACAGCTCTTGATCTTTTACAATTTTGCTATGGTGGTCCTATCTGGATACATATTCATGGAGGTTAAAATAGTATTGTAGTGTTTGTTGCTGCTTAATTTTTAATGTTATAAATATTTTTTTCCTATCTAATAAGTTATACTATACAGATATTGATTAAAGTACTTTAAAATGTTTAATATTCAGTTTGGTCTGTCAGGTTGGTTTGTTGGATATAGTTACAGTTGTCAGCCGGTTGATCACTCAACATCTCCACAAGCTATCAGGGTTCATTTTGATTTTGAAGCCTTATTTCAATCAGTTTTTTTTTCAAATGTTTCAACTTTGTGGTTTTTCAATTTCAAATGTGCTGAATTGCTGAATTCTATTCATTTTATACACATATCTATGTTATGTTTGTTCCAAAATAACTTTTTTGCTTAGATAAGAGGCCACAGCTCATTTAAAATGGTTAATGTTTTATAATTGTTAATTGAACAGATGGTAAACGTTAGCTGGTGGTTCTTCATTTCAAAGTTCATTGAACTCTTGGACACTGTATGTTTTTGAAATTTTAATTTTTAAATTTAAATAGGTAAAATAATTTTATATTAATACTTAATTTATCATTTGTTTTTTTTAATTATCTTTGTTGCTAATTTGGTTGTATGAATTTATGACCATTAGCTATTGACTGTTGATTGCCCAGTGAATAAATGACCTAAACAATTAATTAATCGCATGATCAGCTTTGATCACTTGAAGATTATCAATTGAAAATTTAACTGAAACGTCAATCTGAATGAACAGATCGTGTATCGTTATTGGTCTTTCTGTTTATCATTGTATTAATACTTCACAGGTTTTTGATTTGGCTAAAATTTTAATCATCGTTTGTGTGAATGCTTTAAAAATTCAAACATCAAATACGATTACTTACTACCTTTGCAATCCAAATTAGCATTACATTACATTACATTACAATAGTAATGGACTAACTCGATGGTTGAAATCATTCAAATTAACTTGTCAAGGTTTTTTTTGTACTGAGAAAGAAGAACAACCAGGTGACATTTCTGCACGTCTTCCATCATGGTATCATGCCATTCTCCTGGTGGTTTGGCGCCAAATTTGTCCCTGGTTGGTATTAAAAGGTTGTGGTCGTGAGATGATGAGATTGGAGAGAGTGTTATGAGATAGTAAGATTGGAGAGAGTGTTAAGAGATAGAAAGATTGGAGAAAGTGTTTTTATTTATTTGTTAAAGTTTTTAAAAGTTAATCTATACAATGAATGGTTAATAATTTTTTCCCGTCATTGTGGGATAATGAATTGTTGCTTACATTTTCAAGTTTATTTTTAACGTCACTGCATTCATCATCATTCTGATCATCATCACTATCATAATCTTTACAACTCTTACCTGCAGACATAAATAGATTGGTGGATAAATTAATAGATGAATTAACGAATGAATGAATTGATTGATTGGTAGATGAATGAATGAATAAATGAATGAATGGATGAATGAATGGATGAATGACAATGTATTGATAGGTGGATTTGGAACATTCCATGCCTGGTTGAACTCTTTCATCCATTTCCTCATGTACATTTACTATGGGCTGTCTGCCATGGGACCTGCATATCAGAAGTTCATCTGGTGGAAGAAATATATGACCACCATGCAGATTGTATGTTGTCGTTGTTGTTGTTTGTATATGGATTGTATGTTGTTGTTGTTTACATATGCAGTGGTATGTTGACGTGTTTGTATGTGTTGCTTGTTTGTTTGTGTGGTATTTGTTGCTTGTTCTCGCCATTTTTTATTCATCCATCCGTCCTTCAATCATTTGATGATTTATTCATTTATTTATCCGTTCATTTTTCAGTTATTAACCATTTATTCATTCATTCACGCATGCATGCATGCATGCAGACCCAATTCATTGTGGTGTGCATTCATTCATCCCAACTCCTCTTCATGGAGTGTGACTATCCAATCATCTTCACCTACTGGATCGGATCCTACGCCATCATCTTCCTCATCCTCTTCCTCAACTTCTATGTGCAAGCCTACAAGAAACCTACCAGAGGTCTCGGCGAATGAATAAATTAATAAATGAATGAATGATTGATTGATTGATTTAATGAATGAATGAATGATTAAATGAATAGATGTGTGCATGAATGAGTGATTGGACGATTGGACGGTTGATTGACTGAATGGATAAATGGAGGTATAAAAGTTTTTTAATGATAATCATTGCTAAATGGGATGATGAAGATGATTTTGCTAACGATGGTAGTTATTGGCACTACGACTGTGACGATATTTTATTAATAACAAGCAGAACGACGATGATGAGGATGATGATGAAGACGATAATAATGTTGATAATGGTGGTATTGATGATGGTGACGACGACGATGATGGTGATGACGACGACGATGATGATGATGACCTACTTTGAAATAAAACCATTACATCTTTCTTACAAACAGGCGGTCAGACCAAGAAGAAGTCTGATGCTATCAACCAACTGAAGAATGGATTAAATAAAAATGATTGATTGATTGATTGATTGATTGATTGATTGATTGATTGATTAATTGATTGATTGATTGACTGACTGACTGACTGATTGATTGATTGATTGATTGATTGACTGATTGATTGATTGACTGATTGATTGATTGATTGATTGACTGACTGATTGATTGACTGATTGATTGACTGATTGATTGACTGATTGATTGACTGATTGATTGATTGACTGATTGATTGACTGATATCGTTGGATGATTAAGAATCAATTAGCTGTTTGATTCTTGATATTTTTAACGGAGTTATTTAAATATTTTTTAACTTAATTAAATAATTGTCACCCAAATTATCACATCATCTCCATTGAACGGTGATTTGTTTTTATCCTATATACCAAATCTTTTTTTAATGTTTAACTGTTCTATGTTATTGTTATTATTTTTATGTTAGTTGTCATTATCTACCATCAGGTGCATCGTTGTCGTTAATGTTGTTACTTTGGTTACGTTGGTGTTATTATTGATATGTTATTGTTAGTGTTGTTATGTTATTTTGGTATAATTATGTATATAATGCGTCATTAAGTATATACGTTTGTCAGTGTGTTGTATGCAAATCACATTCCTCTGCTGCTCATTCATTGCAATGGACTTGTTAGTAGCATTGGAATTTTAGTATTCTTTATACATTCATTCATTCGTTCATTCATTCGTTCATTCATTCAATCATTCGTTCATTCATTCATTCGTTCATTCATTCATTCATTCATTCATTGGCGTCTGCCCATTTGTTCATGAGTATATTCATTTCTTTCAGACGTTATCCAATGATAATTTTTCGTTTTATTCATTTATTATTCCTACATTCGTTCACCAAAGGCATTTATTGCCTTTTGTTTTACGTACGTGTGTTTCAGCTTTTATTTCACGCGTTATATGCGCCGGTTCGGCTGTTTTTATGAGGCACGCATGCACACTGTTTAGTGGGACTGTCCATATATGTATCGACCTATTTGTCTGCCTATCCTCCTGTCTGTCTGTTTGCTAGTCTCTCTGTGTCTGTCTGTGTCTGTCTGTCTACCGATCCACTAGAGATGCACTTAACAGTTCACTATTAAGTGCATCTTGAAAGCAGAATAGCTGATCCACTATCGGTCGAAGTCGAATACCAAAAGACTCAAAATTTTGGACAAAAAATTTGTTAAAGAAGGTACTATTTCAAGCTATTGAAAAAACAGTAAGCGATCCAACTTTTTTGCCGGGATAATATTCAATCCCTTTTCTCTTGTCCCAATCCTGATGTTTTAGCAGCTATGATGGCTAAAATAAATTTTTCGCTATTAATAATCAACAATTATTGTTCTGGAATCCGAAAGAAGGGATGGCTTGATAGGTAGCTGTTCGGCCTTTAAAAATGGAAGTAGAAGTGGAAGTCTTTCTATCTCTCTATCTATGTATGTATCTATCTATGTTTGTATCTATCTATCTATCTATCTATCTATCTATCTATCTATCTATCTATCTATCTATCTATCTATTTGATTGTCTGCTCATTCACTAGTCTATTTATTTATCTATTAATCCATGATACTGAGTACAAGAGCGTCGATATCACGTGATCACCGAATATTAGTCAGCAGTCATATATCTACCTACCCACCCACTTATTTGTGGTTGCTCCTTCCGTCATAATCATGTTTCTATTTGAATAATTTTTTTCAAATATTTTATAATGTCTGTCTACAAGGTATTGAAGTATTGATTTTAACATTTTTGAAAGTTATTATGAACGCATGCATGTCTATTCGTTCATCACATTGTGTTTGTGTTTTGTGTTGTCTTGTTTTTGTATTTTTATTCAATAATTATAGTTTTTTAAATTTCAGAATACAATGCATCACTTTTTGTTTGCTGTTTCTTTACTTCTCAAAAATATCCAAATACCAAATTTAATAACCGCATTGAAAAGAGTAATTTCTAGTTAAATAACAACATGAGGAGCAAGTTTCCGGCGATGTAGATGAACGTGGCGGTAATGTCGTATCTATTGAGGGGGTTGCAGATGCAGAAGGCTCCAGTGGCCAGACGACAAATCACACTGGCCGGACGACGTTTGTTAAAACAAAAAATCGAGACTATTTAAATTGTATTTTTGTTACTTGGCAGTATTCCACGTAATAAAATTTCCTTCTTTGATCATAGCAATAGCTAAGTGTTCGCTTGTGCAGGTTCGTATTTGATTCGCGAAGGCCCTTGAAGAGGTTTTGCTTGTCGGTGCTGACGTCAATAACATGCTTAGCACAGCTGCTTATAATCTTATTCACGTTATTATTGTTAAGAATGCTGATGCTGTTATGTTACTAATAAATCATTATTTATTGAAACGCGGTAAATTGTTTAGACGAAGAAGGCATGGCAGTCTCATGTCATTCATAGCCAAAGTGATGCTTAATTTGTTTATATTAAGTTATATTTTAATTTATTTATTATTATATTATCTTTATTGTTAAGTTTATTTTAGGTTTAACGCGAAAAATCTGCTAAAATTTTTTAGGTAATATGATGTGACAAATAAATCTCAATTATTATCAATGTTGGTTACTAATAATGTTAAAAGTTATTACTGTTGTTGATAAAAATGCTAGTAATAAATTAATAGTTTTATTATTAGTATTATTATAGTTTTATTATTACTATTATCATTATTGTTACACAAATATTATTAATGTTAATATTATTTTGATATAATGCATTGAACAAACATGTGCATTCAGCACAGCCCGTACGCCAGCGTTTTAAATCAGGTGAATGAATGACTGAGCGAGAATGAATGGATGACAGTTTAAAAATGAATGAATGAAAGCGAGAAAGTATGAAACGGCAAAAGAATAAATGAATGAATGAATAACTGAAAGATTGGACGAGAGAATGAAAGAACGAATGTTTGAGTGAGAGAATTGACGACGAATGATCAACAATAAAATATATTAATAGTAGTCAGACAATGCAAGTAGGTAGGTTAGGTAGTAGCTACAGCGCTCTATTTACCTGTAGTGCTTAAAGTTCTCTCTTCCTCTCTCTCTCTCTCTCTCTACATATATATATATATATATATATATATATATATATAAATATTTGGGTTCAGACTGTCGTATATACAGTTATTAATAAATATCAACGCGGAAAATGCGTGGATATTTGTGTTGATGGTGTTGAATCTCCTCTTCACTCTGGTGATAGTATCGGGTGCTTCTCAGTCTGATTTAAAATTGGATGAACATGTGAATGCAGTATTGGTTAAAATATATAAAATCACAAATATCATTTACAGGTCGCGCCACAAATTAAGTCAAGATTCAATGTTATTAATATACTATTCCTTATGCTACCCCTACTTAATAGATGGTGATGTTTTGTGGGGATCTACGTACAGTTATTTGATAAATAAGTTGACGATGGCCCAAAAAATATTTTTAAGAGTGCGCTCTTTTTGATGAAGCGTTTAGACCACACGGTGTTTGTAAGTTACATAGGATTCTCAGTATCGAGCAAATAAATATTTATCTAACATTGACGTTTTTTTAAATAGGACATTAAACGATGAAAATTATAAATCAATCAAATCCCTTGCAAGTGTTTCATCTAGCACAAGACATTTGTTAGTATTTTGGAAGACTTTCTTTCAATAGTTTAATATTATATTACTGTCAGTTTGAGTAACTATTATTATACGATTTATGTTTCACACGATGTAATGTCGAATAAAGAGGTTTATATAAACAATTTTTGTTATCATTATTATTTGTCCCTAATGTTGATATCATAAACTGTTTGTTTGGTCAAAATTTTAATTCTGTTCCAATCTTGATGAGCTCATTAATGTTATATGTTGCACAGTTTTGAGGTGGTCTGCACATACATTAAGTATCTTGATCTCCTGTGCTTTTGCCAAATACATACTGGAAAAAATAAAAAATATATACATACATATAAAATATAATTATGGTCTATTAACATATATATATATATATATATATATATATATATATATATATATATATATATATATATATATATATATATATATATATATATATATATATATATATATATATATATATATATATATATATATATATATATATATATATATATATATATATATATATATATATATATATATATATATATATAT